AGGCAATGTGTTTTTCCATCAGGAAGTAAGTTGGTACAGAAATCTGGATGGCAGAAGTCATGGAATGCCCTCACAAAATGAAACCTCGGTTCCCTAAGGGGTGACCAGGGGAAGGCTATCTGGAATTTGTGTTTACACTTTCCCGTAATAGTCCATGCCACAGCCCGAGCGAGCTGGACCATTGAAGGCCCTTTCCCCAAATCTCCAGGTATTCAAAGGAAAAACGAAAGCAGAAGGGACGTAACCCCACAATTCTCCTCTGTCTGAGACACACTGGCGTTAGTTGTGTTAAGAAGCAATGTTTGTTACCCATGAAAGAAAAAGTGATGAGATTCTGACGGACTTACTTTATGCAAATGAACAGTTTCAAAACCATCTCCATTACAGATCATTCTTATTTACCTGCTAAGTATTTTTCTAGTGGGAAAGAGGAAGTCGAATAATCTGACTACCCTAAGGAATAGAGTGAAGAATGGTTTTGTTAGGGTTAGGAAAAAAAGAGAAGTTGAAATTTCTGAGTTCCCTTGAGGTTCAAAGGTATGGTTCACTTGTTTTCAGGTGGAAAGTTCTTCCTGCGTGGCTTCCTTCCTAAGAGTATCTGCTAGCATATCCACACCTCAAGTCCAGACCAGGAGAGCAAGGGCCAGAAGGAGGTAAGTCTAAATTCTAACTTTCCAGAGTGGTTATTTCATGATTAACATGAATGAGAACTGTCCTTCCATTCCAGGGAAGATCCCATCCACTTACAACAGTAGCTCTCTGAGAAACAGACATTTGTAATATGTGCATGGTAACCTGAGGACAATTGTTTTCCTCTCTCTCCCTGCCCCACCCCCACCCCTTGGTTGTGTGGTTTGAACTAAGGACCTGGGCACTGTTCCTGAGCTTTTTTGTTCAAGTCTAGCTCTCTACCACTTTGAACCACAGTGCCACCTCCAGTTTTTGAGCAATTCCTTGGGGATAAGAGTCTCATAGGGACTTTTCTGTCTGGACTGGCTTTGAACCACAAACCTCAACTCTCAGCCTCCTGAGTAGCTAGGATTACTACAGGCATAAGCCACCAGCACCCAGATGACAACTGTTTCCTTTCTGCAGCAGATGGAGAAATTCAATTACCCATTCTTACATTCAGGAGAAAAAGTAAGGAAAGACAAATGACCTGAGCCAAAGTTTTTCTTGTATTACATCACTCCTGCCCTATGCAAACATTTGTGGATCATAGATACCATAAAGACTGTGAAGATGGATAATAGATCTTTCCCACAAGTTCTGGTCTGCTATTGGAGATGACTCATGGGGCTGTCAAAACTAAGGTAAAGGAAATGACGCTCTGGCTCAAATGGTAGAACACTCGCCTTGAGCTGAAGAGCTCAGAGACAGCACCCAGGCCCAGAGTTCAAGCCTACAACCGCGACCCCCCCAAAAAAAACCCTCAGGTAAAAGGAAAGTACTGCTAGATTTCTACATCCTCAACAAGAAGCTTCTGTCTCTAGTCACAGGGTGCTGGAGTAAGATAGTGCCAGACAGGGAGAGAATTTTCATGACCACCAAGGCCTCTTTTCCCAGGAAGTAGGTAAGCCTTCTGGGCCCAGTTTTGAAGCTGACTGGCTCAAAGATCCCTGTAATTTAATTCCAGCATCTATACTTGGCCAGAATAAAGGGAAGCCAGGAACAACAGTACAATGCATTCATTTTATTATAAATGCATTAACAAGGATATTTGAGCATCCTGATGTTTTCCCCCTTTTGAAAACTTAACATCTAATATGGAGAGAACGAAAGGGAAGCTGGGGAAGATGGCTAAAAGATCTGAGCAGTGGGTGCATGGGAAGAAAGGATATGACGGAAGAGGGACAGCAGAAGAACATTGATACACTCACCTGGAGACGCCGAAATCTTTAACACCAATGCAAAGAGTGCAGAGAAATGTAATTTCCAAATGCACAAAGTGTCTTCTGACTCAGTCCTCAAATGCAAGATTTTATTGTTCACCTGCACTGATGATATGATAGTATTCATCTTATTCTTAAGATTTATAGTGCAGAAAAAGGTCAGAAAACATGGTACCATATCTTTATAGATAGAGCAGTAGGAGATTTTGGAAACTGTGTAATTCCCTTAGTTAGTTTTAGCCCAGTAAAAGGAAGGCCAAACTGGTTAGATGTGCTTGTGGTTACGAAGCTCTTTAGAATTCATACCGTGTTCCTAGGCTTAACATTTTTCCTTCCTCCTTCCCTTCCTTCATCCCTCCCTTCCTTACTTCTTTTTTCTTTTTTTCTTCCTTTCTCTTTCTCTCTCCCTCTCCCCTTCTTTCCTCCTTTTACTTTGCTGTAGCTCCTGGTAGCCCAGAAAAGAGAATACCAGGATGCACATCATGCATTATTTAAAGTCTCTTTGCATTTTTACACTTTAGATCACGATGGGATTTATATTTTCAAAATCTATGAATGAAAACCTGAAAAATCAGCAGGAGTTCATGCTTATGAATGCACGGCTTCAGGTATGTTTTACAATAATTAAGCTGTTACGTTAGCACAGGGGTTAAAGTTCTAACACATGTGCTTCTTCAGATAAAATATGCCACCCTCAAAGGCAAGATGAAATTAATTACTGTTTATTTGATGACTAGCCTTGTTTAAGTCTTTAGTCCAGATGCACTCATGGAAAATTTCTATACTGCAGGAAGAGACGCTCGCTTAGACCATTGCGTATATTATTATAGACAGAATAATACCCCTTCTCCATGATATCTATGTTACTTTCAATGGCAAAAAGGGCTTTTTACCATGTGCTCATTCAGGAGTTTCAGATGGAGAAATTGTTTTGTATTATCCAGATGGAATGACTCCATCATAATTGTAAGCATATTTATAAAGAGAAGAAAGGGAGACAGAGACAGAGATAGACATGGAGACACAGAGAGATACACACAAATACATAGAGATGGAGATGGAGACAGACACAATGAGAGAGAGAGAGAGAAATTTGAAGACATACCATTGGCTCTGAAGATAGAATCAGGGCCACAAGCCGAGGAATGCCTGCAGCTTCTAGAAGGCAGAAAAGACAGGAAACAGATTATTTTCTACAGCCATCAAAGGGATACAGTCCTTCTAGCCCACTTAGGACCTTAACCTCAGAACTGTAAGATAGTACATGTGCATTATTTTAAATTGGTGAGTTCTTGACAACTTGTTACAACAGTAATAGGAAGCTAATACAGACTGTAAAAACTTGACAATGGATCAGACAATATAGAAAAAATCAAAATATATTAGATTGTCGAATTGCCAAATACAGGTTATCACAACGTATTTTTAAATGTTGCCAGTCAAAGTTAAATGTGTAGAGTTTGTCCTAAATTATTTTCCTAAGACTTCAGACCAAGGTCGCTAAGCTTCTGTGGCTAATTGTACTTGGCTCTATTCCGGCCATACAGCCGGTCACAAATGAGGGCTAAAGGCAGGCTGCCTGGGTGAATTTCAGCTCTACCCCAACTAACTGTGTTACCTGTGCCTCAGTCTCCTGTTCTGTACAGCAGAGGTAGTAAAAATCCCCTTCAGAGAAATGTTTGGAGTAAAGATGATACCTATTATATAGAACAATGCCTCCGGTCTTTAGGAAAATGCCTCTCCTGGGCTGAGGGTGTACTCAGTGGTAGAGGGCATGCTTCCCATCTGGGAAGCTCTAGGTTGGACCCCCGCACAGACACACACACACACACACACACACACACACACAACTCTTTGTATTAGATGTTACTGTTACCCTTACTAAAGATGGATTAGAGCTAAGAGTGTCCTACACAGGAAGAAGATTTATTTTTTTTCTCCCACAGTTTTATTTGCACACATACACACACACATATATTAATACTACGATATGTGAGGCTTTGTTGTCATATTTCTCTACTTGTATATAATATACTTTGATTATATTCGCTCCTTCGATTATTCTTTCTCAGGACAGAGATTTCTTTGGCGAGGGGGAACAGTTGGAAGAATGGACAATAGAATTACAATAATAACAAAGTGACTGAGAAGACACCAAATACTAAGTATAGGAAACAGCCAAGTACATCAGATACTTAGAGCATCCTTATCAAAGAACTTTCAAAAAGCCAGTGCCTCACTCCTGTAATCCTCACTACTCGGGAAGCTGAGATCTGAGGATTGCAGCTCCAAGCCAGCCCAGGCAGAAAAGTCTGTGAGACTCTTAATTAACTACAAAAATCTGGAAGTAGAGCTGTGGTTCACATGGTAGAGTGCTAACCTTGAGCACAAAAGCTCAGGGACAGTGTCTAGGCCCAGAGTTCAAGCCCCAGGACTGGAAAAAAAAAAGTGCAGGAATTTTACCTTGGTTTCCATGACCTCCAGGTCTGTGACGAGTCAGGGTTTACTTTACCTCAAACTGACAAGTGAGTCCACTATAGCCAATCATAAACATCTGAGATGGAGACCATTATTATTAACAGCTTAGCCAGCTGTCAGAGCCTGATGACAACATCAGTCTGCATGCCCCTCCGAACTCGTGGAGGTGCAAAGATGAGTTTGAGCCTAAATGGGTTGTATTTGGATCCTATCTGAGGAATACGGAGCTGGGGGAGACTACTTCATTATAGGGAGCCTAGAACAAGAGAAGTGTTGGAAGAGAGCAAGAATTGCTTTAATTCACCTGTCAAAGTTGTTCACTGAAGCACAAGCAAGAAATGGCCCAAAGAAAGAGCAGTTAAGGCCTTGCATTCTTGACCTCCTTAGCTAGAATTTTGTGTAGGGACCTTTGGGGCTACTGGTAATAACGTAAATGACCAGAGAATTGCTTTGGCTACCCAGTGCTAAAACCTCCCTGGGCACACAGACAAAAGATATATCATGGAGAAAAGAAAGGTGATCGCTATTCACAGAAGAGGAAAACAGGGTGGGCAAAACACCTGAGAAGTCATTGCTGTTTCTTGGTGAGAATAGCTTTAAGCTCTGCCTGCTGATCACCGTGAGTAGGCTCTCAGTGGCTGTCACCCGGTTAAAGAGCAGCAGTAATCACTGGTCTTGAGCCTAGGAACCAAAGGCAAACTCAAGCATTTAGGGTCCCACTGAGTCAACAGCTTTGTCTCAGGTGACAGAGTAGAGGATGGAATTTTCCCCTAAAGGATAGCTACTGCTTCTCTGAGATGCAACTCCTAGATAAGCAGACAGGCCATTCCCTTCAAGCAGAATGTTTTCGTTTGACCAGCAAATGGGCCTTTGCCTTGTCATTGTTAAGTTCTAGGGGCCCCAACCCAAAATGGAGTGCCAAGCCTGGGAATCTCAAGGTCTGGGGGGGGGAGGGGGGCAAATATTTATTTTTAGCAAAAAACTACCTGGCTCAGAATGACAAAGAAGACTTTTTTTCCGCATATATAGATGATAGCCCTAAAATAGGAATATATGTGTAAGTATATATAGGTTCATATGTATATAAATGTATGAGTGCATGTATATGCATGCATGCATGTATATGTATGTGTGTAACATATGCACATGAATATAACCACACGTGCATATATGTGAGCACACATATACCTACGCATGTGTGCATATATCTGCATGTGTACATATATGTGTATATATGTACATGTGTGCACACATGTGGATGGATGTATACCTATATCTGTGAACATGTGACCAATCTGACTAAAGTATGCTATCTACATGCGTGATGAGACCATTTGAACAATTAACAGGTATTTTAGCAAAAACAGATATTAGGAAATTGAAACATTGCTTGTCTGGCAGCTAAGCATGAGTGGAAAGGGGTGCACAAGCAGGGAGGTAGAGGGGGGCAAACACATAGTACTTGATCTACTTTATATTCCATGTGTGAAATGAAGCAAGCAAGTTGGTGGACTGGTTTAGGAAGGGGTAAGGGAAGGAGGTAATGGAGGATGCAGAGGAGTGATTATGGTCAAGATGCACTGTATACATAAATTGATTTGTTAAAATGAACCCCCCCTCACCTTCTGCAAGTAATTGATGCCAGTTAAAAAGAACAAGGCATTGGGTGCTGGTGGCTCAGGCCTCTAATCCTAGCTACTCAGGAGGCTGAGATCTGAGGATCGTGGTTCAAAGCCAGACCAGGCAGGAACATCCAAGAAACTCTTATCTCCAGTAAACCACTCAGAAAACTGGAAGTGGTGCTTTGGCTTAAGTGGTAGAGCGCTCGCCTTGAGCTGAAGAGCTCAGGGACAGCTCCCAGGCCCAGAGTTCAAGATCCAGGACCAACCAAAAAAAAAAAGAAAATAAAGGCTTGGCACCAGGTCAGTAACTGCTCCCCCTCTTTGGAAAAGGGGGTACCATTGGTTCTATTTGCCCCCCCCAAATTCAGATGTTGAGATGTTGAAAGCCCCAACCCAAAGCATTTGGGAACATGACCTTCTTTTGGATGGGTGAGGGAATCGAATTTAAATGGATCACTAGGCTGGGCTGCAGTCTCGTATGGCTGATGGCCATACGATGTATTTGATGCCCATGTCCAGCAGGTGGTACTGTTACACTGGGCAACATTATACTGGCCAATGGCCTCTCTGCAAGGTGAGCTATGGGTTTTTGGGGTTTTTTCCCACCTTTCTGAGACTTTATAATATTTCTACAAGGCCACCTGGTGAGGGAATTCATGAATGGGAATGACCCTCTGGTCATTACAGGGTTTACAATGCAATTATATAGTATGTCAATGTCAATCCCATTATCCATGTATGTGTGGTGTGTGTGTGTGTGTGTGTGTGTGTGTGTGTGTGTTGTGAATTGGATCAGGGTCCCTCTAGTTTCCTTTCCTTACTAGGAAATTTGCTCAACTCTCTCAGCTGAATTCGGGTATCACCGCAGAAAGGTGTGAGCATTGGAACACACTCTCATTGGAACACAAATCAATAAGCTAAAGAGTTTGACCCACGTATTTCAGCAATTCTCATATAATTTTCAGTGTCTCAGCTGTGGGATGGGAGCAGGGAGGGAGGTGTTGATCAGAAGCAAGAGTGCTGAAGAGCAAGAAGGACTATTGAGCATATGATTCCTTGTCCCAAAATGGACGCTGCTTCCTCCCTGCATAGCCCAGCCTCTGGAGAGCACTCCTGTTTGGGAGAGGAGGGTCATTCTTTCAGCCTTCACTGGTGCTAACATACTGCCCTGACATACTTGGCACCCTGGACCAGTTTTGGGCTTACCATACCCTCCCTTTATAGACTTTGGCACCCACATCCAACAGAGCTGTAAAAGTTGGGTCTTTAGAAAGAAACACACAGCCATAGCCACTTGATTCTTGATAAAGGTGCAAGTGCATGCGCACACACACATCTTTAACAAGTTGTAATGGGGAAAACTGAGTATCCACACAAAAGTAGATGCCTTATCTTGTCATGGACAAAAATCAACTCAGACCTGAGTTGATCAACGAAGACCTGAATGTAAAACCTGAACCTTTGCAAAACCTTAACTTTTGAAAGAGAAACAGGGAAAACACTTCAAG